CAGCTTACAAGGATAGGTAACCATTGTCTTTATCTTGCATTTGTTATGTATATCAGGTACATTTTCAAATACCGCTTACTTAAGAACAGCCAAAACATCTTTACCTTGAAGGAAAAGATCTTACTCGAGAAGAATTTTGTGTATTACACTGTTCTTGAATAGCTTATGGTGTCATATATCTTAAAATTACTGACAATTGTCCTACTTCACTAGAAGCCTTTGTATCTCTACGTACAGTTCTTAAGGTGGTTTCGTGTTAGGCTCTTGTTTTCTGGGATTTAGAACATTTAAGATGTGGCAGTATAACAATGGATCAGTAACCACCTTTTAACTGAGGAGTTAGTATGCTTGACCAGAAAAATATTTGTTCTTCTATTTATGTGTTTGTTGGACCTTCTTGCGTAAGCAGTGGGCATGTGGAAGCTGCCATTACGAGCTATAAGCAGGCCTTGCTACTACGACCAGACTTCCCAGAAGCAACGTGCAACCTTCTGCACACCTTACAGGTATTTATTTTTCCTGGTTTGATGTCACACGTCTGTTATGAAATCTTCTTTCTCTATTTTTCTAGCTCTTGTTAACTCTCCCTTCATCTCCATTTTCTTCTTTCCTGCTGCTGTACCAGTGTGTATGCTGTTGGGAAGACCGTAGCAAAATGTTCGCTGAAGTTGAAAGCATTATTAGGAGGCAAATAAATGTAAGTATTTACGCCACACAAAATTTGTGGTACTTTTATACTATTACAGATTAAGGTGATAGCATATCCTATTGATCCTATCTTCAGATGTCGGTCCTTCCAAGTGTCCAGCCCTTCCATGCAATAGCATATCCTATTGACCCTATTCTTGCCCTTGAAATCAGGTTTGAGACTGATTTTTTAATACTCAATACTCATGAAAATACATGTTTATATTATCTTTGTGTATATGCCTATTCCTTATTAATCCCCTATATTTTCAGTCGTAAATATGCTGCACACTGCTCCATAATCGCTTCTCGTTTTGGACTACCTCCTTTTACCCATCCAGCTGGGCTCCCTGTAAAACGTGAGGGAGGATTTAAGAGATTAAGGATTGGATATGTGAGCAGTGATTTTGGTAACCATCCGTTGTCACACCTCATGGGATCAGTGTTTGGGATGCACAACAGAGAAAACGTTGAGGTTTGTATCCTGCATTTGGATATTTGTTGATCCATTTCTTAGGTCTGATCTGATTTTATATAGCGAGTTTAGATTCTTCAACCCAGTGTCTTCTAGTGAGGCTATAAAATTCGTGCATGTTGGGTTTGTTTTTCTGAGGGTAGGAATGTATGGAACCGAACAGGTCCTGTGTGTGGACTGTGGAATATAGAATTTTAGTAATTGATGGTATATCATTCTGTATCTGCCTATCCTGTTTTGGGATTTCAGTAAAGTAAATCACATTTTTTCCCAGGTTTTCTGCTATGCATTGAGTGCAAATGATAATACTGAGTGGAGACAGCGTATCCAATCAGAAGCTGAGCATTTCCTGGACGTTTCTTCTATGTCATCTGATGCTATCGCCAAAATTATAAATGAAGACAAAATCCAGATCCTCATCAATCTAAACGGTTATACCAAGGCATGCTCTGAACATTTCAGAAACTTTATACTCTAGAGCTGTACCCATTCCTATGGAAATGTTTTTGGTAACATTGCTTGTTTTAACCTATGCAGGGGGCTAGAAATGAAATATTTGCCATGCAGCCTGCACCGATCCAGGTTTCATATATGGGCTTCCCGGGTACAACTGGGGCAACCTATATTGACTATCTAGTGACTGATGAGGTTTGCAATTGAATTAGAGTTTTCTAGATATCTTCAGAACAATTTTTTTTTCCAACCTTCGTTTTCTCTATGTTATGACTGGTTACTCTCATTTACTTTTCAGTTCGTGTCTCCTCTGCAATATGCACATATTTATTCAGAGAAGCTGGTCCATCTTCCCCATTGCTACTTTGTCAATGATTACAAGCAGGTATGCTCAGAGAAAGTTATCTTTACCATGTTATTGTACATTCATCAGCTCCTTAGTCATTTATTATAAAACTCATTGTATAAATGCTATTTGCAGAAAAATCAGGATGTGTTAGATCCAAATTCTAAGCCCAAGAGATCAGACTATGGACTTCCTGAAGACAAATTCATATTTGCATGCTTCAACCAACTGTACAAAATGGATCCTGAGATCGTTAATACTTGGTAAGTGTTTATCCTTAGCTTTGGAGGTTTGTTTAAAAATTTACGTACGACACTTTACACCATCACGATACTGTATATAACACTCTGTAGCTCGGTATAGATATAAATTTATACATTCGCAGACTGATTTTTTTTTTTAAGGTGCAACATTCTTAAACGAGTACCCAACAGTGCTCTTTGGCTTCTCCGTTTTCCAGCAGCCGGAGAGATGAGGTTTCGCACATGTACGCGTGGTTTTATTCCATTGCCTAGCAGTTCCTTGCTCTTTCTGCTTGCACTACCTTTTATAACCTTATTTTCTGACTTTATATCCAGATGCTGCTGCCCAAGGTGTACAGTCTGATCAAATTATCTTCACTGATGTTGCCATGAAGAGTGAACATATCAGGCGAAGTGTCCTTGCTGATGTAATCCTCGACACGTGAGTTCTTTTGCCTCTCAACTCGTTTCATCTGTACTTCAAGATATATTAAAAAAACAACACAAAACTCATTCTGCCACAAGTTTACCTTCCCTTACCCTGTCATGTCATTAGGCCTCTGTGCAATGGACACACAACAGGAACAGATGTGCTGTGGGCTGGTGTACCGATGATAACATTACCACTTGAGAAAATGGCAACTCGAGTGGCTGGATCACTCTGTCTTGCAACTGGTCTGGGCCATGAGATGATAGTTAACAGGTACGTCTCAGCATAAACCAACTTGTACTTGTGTTCAGTATCCTCTGTTTTCATGTATGTTGTTGAGATATCTCTTTAACAACTGTGAACCAGCTTGGAGGAGTACGAAGAGAAGGCTGTCTCTTTGGCACTGAACAAGCCAAAACTTCAGGCACTGACTAAGGAATTGAGGGCTAGCCGCTTAACCTGTCCTCTATTCGACACCATGCGTTGGGTTAGTCAGGAAACACTTTCTGACTCTATTCCTCTGTTCTGCGGTTTATTTCCTAACCAATGAGCCCTCTTGGTTGGTTACAGGTGAAGAATCTGGAGAGGTCATACTTCAAAATGTGGAACCTCCATTGCTCTGGACAGCAGCCACAACACTTCAAGGTGTTGGAAAACGACCTAGAATTCCCACATGACAGATAAACAACGAGGGAAAGAAAACTGTAACACTGGAGGACCCGGCATTGTAAATAAAAACCGAAGAGAATTAGTAGCAGAAACATTGATAAATTATCAGAGCTAGAAGGTTATTATTATTTGAGCTGTGTACTATATATAAAAACAAAGCTGGCTGTGTTATCCTCTGTTTTCCATTACCGGAGCATGTGGAATATCCCAATGTAACATATATATATCGATCATTTGAACCAAAACGGATCGATGGGTTGGTGGGTTGGTCCATCTTCTCCAAGACCAATGGAGTCATGGGTCATAACGTATATAACAGAAGCTTCAGACAAAGCCGAGATTCTCACTGTAGTAAGTAAACAAAAAGAAAGTTGCGCAGTATGTGGTAAAACCGGGGCTGTGAAGGGCAATGCCGTTGCAGATAGCTCCCATACCGTAGATCCCATACCGTGTTCCCTAACACCAAATCTAAGGTTTCTTTCTTCAGTTGTGGCTTTTTTGAAGTTTGCTGAATGCTTTAAGCAATGTCATGTTGAAAGATGCAAGGTCAGCAAGTGTGTTAAGACATTGCTGAGACAGGTTTCTGGTGGCATCACCCGGAGATTCTGGTGTATATGTCTAAATGAAAAAATAAAGATTATCAGAACTTTCTAGCATACAAATTCACAAAATTTTGTTTATAATGATGAAACATTTCTAGCATACAAATTCACAAAATTTTGTGTTTTCTTGGTGACATGAAGGATTTCAAAATAACCCAAAACCTGGAATAATATAAACTTGTATTTCTAGCATACAAATTCACAAGACTCTCAATTGTATCCAAAAACACCAACTTTCAGATTGAAGAAATCTTAATTTCATTCTCAGCTGGCTAATAATATAAACTAAACAAAATAAAAGTTTTTTCAAGAAGAAGCAGAAATAAAAGTTTTTTGTAATCATCTCATAGCTTGTTTATTCACAAAGATAGAAGACGAAAAGAGAAGAAGTAATAAAAGTTATTATGAGAGGAGGAAGGTAGGAGCTATATCACTACTATTTTCATATTTTTAGCCAATCAGATGGCTCCATGTCACACCCCACTCTCACCCATCGCGCGATTTCACGCCCACTCTCACCACTCGCGAGTTGAGCGCGTGTCTCCGTTTTCCGTGGGTGTAAACCCACCAAATCGCCTGTTTTGAAACACACTCGCTCCTTTTTTTAAAAGCCTCGCGTGCGTGACTTTTTATTTTTTCTTAATTAATTCCAACGCAAACCGAACGAAATCAATTCTATTTTCAAAACCAATGCAAACCGAACCGCTGGAGCTGCCCTAAACATTTCAGAAACTTTTTATACTGGAGCTATCGTCTTCACCGTTTTAACATGCTCGCAATGAAGAAGATACACACATATGTATGTACAGATCTGAAAATAATAAAATAGGATAAAGAGGCCTTGATTTTGATTCTCTAAGCAAAAAAGACCCAATTTATTTTGGATTGTATTTTAATAAAATGCCCAATCTTCGTTTGGGTTGTTGTGTTAACAAATGGCCCATTTTGTTTTCTTTTTCTTTGTCTCTTAATTATGTCAAATCTAACCGATCCGATTTAACCGAATGAACCGCATTTATCCGAAGTTAACCGGATTTCAATCAAAAAGCGATTAATTTCGGTAACAAACATCGGTTTTTTTTGCCAATCTTCGAAATTGACGAAACCCGTCGGTTAACCTAAGCTATGTACTAAACCATGTAACAGGCCATAGTTACCCTAATTTTATGGGCTTTCAAATTCAGCCCATTATCACGTTGACCTATAAAAGCTTAACGCATTAGGGTTTATTCCTCCTCCTCATATAATCATCGCTTTGGCTGCAGAGAAGCACAAAATCATAAAACCCTAGCAATGGCGAGCCAACCGGCGAAAGAGTCTGTTCAATGCTTCGGAAGGAAGAAGACGGCCGTTGCCGTCACCCACTGCAAACGCGGCTCGGGTATGATTAAGCTCAACGGTTCGCCGATCGAGCTTCATCAGCCAGAGATCCTCCGATTCAAGATCTTGGAGCCAATCCTTCTCCTCGGGAAGCACCGTTTCGCTGGAGTTGACATGAGGATCCGAGTCGAAGGTGGTGGTAACACATCTCAGGTCTACGCAATCCGTCAGAGTATCGCTAAGGCTCTCGTTGCTTACTACCAGAAGTACGTTGATGAGCAGTCGAAGAAGGAGATCAAGGACATCTTGGTGAGGTACGATAGGACTCTACTTGTTGCGGATCCTAGGAGGTGCGAATCGAAGAAGTTTGGTGGTAAAGGTGCTCGTTCTCGTTTCCAGAAGAGTTACCGTTAAAAATCTGGTTTGGCTTTTTTTGTTTTATCAACGTTTTGGGATTGTGATGTTGAAATTGTGAGACTTTAGGTTCTCTTTTGCGTTTTATTTTCAATGGTTATTGGATAATGTTTACTTCTTTAAAGAACTTATGTTTCTACTATGTTCACTATCTACAAGTTCTCAATTTTTCTTCAAAAGTTGTTTCTTTTATCACTGTCTTTATCGATTGCTTATGTTTGATGAAATTGATAATGATCTGTCTTGGTCATACTCTAATTACTCGTTGCCAATTACATTAGTCGCTGAAGCTTTTGGGAATTTGTGAAAGTAATTGGCTTGTAGTTGCTAAGAGTTGTTGTACATTGATTGTTCTATTTTAGTTTTGAGATATCGTTCTTTGAATTACTCTGCTTTAAGTGTTTCCCTTGTAACCTTTAGTTGCAATTTGACTCGCTAGAGAAACGATAAGAAATACTATCTTGTATGTATTAATGTTGCTTCAGAATTTGTATGCTGTCTTGTTTTTTTAGAGTAAAAGCCATGTCTTTCTTCAATGATGATTTTCTCGTGTACTTGTTTCAGCTCTAGGTTTTAGTCCATGGAACATAAGCTTAATTGTTTTTGAATTGAAAAACACGGAAAAACGGTCTATTTCCCCCCCGAGAACTATCGCATCATAACAGATGCAGCCCAAACTTTGACCCCGATCCTAATGTCCCTGAAATTAAAGTTCAATACCTATTTCCCCCCGAATCAAAAGTTCAATTCTTAAATCCCCCCGAATCAAAAGTTCGAGAGTTACAATCCCACGGTTCCGGGTTTAGTCGGTTTACCTAAAGCCTAAACCCAAAGCTAAACCAATTAAATGTTATGTTAACCAGAATAAACCCTAATCTACCCAATTTCGACCCGATTTCACTCTTTTAACCAAAACCCACTACCCGATTTCACTCTTTTAACCAAAACCCATCAAATCGAAAACCGAAACCCTAAAATCAGAACTTCAAAAAATCCCCAAATTTCCCGACGAACCCTAGAGAGAAATTTAGAGAGATCGAAGCTTCCAATCTCTGGTGCTCTCAATCGAAGGATGGCTGTAGTCGTTCGTGACCCGAATATTGATCCTATTGGTGATGTTGATCCTGAAGGTGAAGACAGAGACCAATTTCACATCGAAGAAATGTTGAATGAGTGGACTGACGAACCTCATATTCGCCACGACGAGTACCCAGAGAGCGATGCTGAAGAGAATGGCGATGGTCCTGAGAGATTTCATACCCATATCAGACGAGGTGATGGCCATTTGTACCCGAAGCAAACTTTCTTCAGTGGAGTTGCTTTCAAGGAGGCGGTAGTTGACTATGCTCTTAGGACAGGATGCAATCTAAAGCAGTACAGGTATGATAATGATAAAATTGGCTTTAAATGTGTTGGTAACGATGGTAAGGAGGAAGGAGTACGGTGTGAGTGGCAAGTTTATGCCGCGATTCTTCCTAAAGATCAAATGTGGAAGATTAGGAAGTTTATTGATAAACATAGCTGCATCCCTAATGGAGAGTGTGAGATGTTTAAGGTGCCACATATAGCTAGGCTGTTCGTTGATAAGATTAGGGATAATCCAGAATTCTACTTGCCAGCTAAGATTGAAGAAGTGATAAAGGAACAGTGGAAGATCAGTGTGACTAGGAATCAATGTCAGGCTGCGAGAAAGAAGGCAAGGCAATGGATTGAGAAGGAGTATGATGATCAGTTCGCGAGATTAAGAGATTATGCCGCTGAAATACTTGATTCTAATCCGGATTCACATGTAGAAGTTGATTGTCTGACCAATGAGGAAGGTAAAGACATGTTCAATAGGTTTTATGTCTGTTTTGATAATCTAAGAAAGACTTGGAAGGAGAGCTGTAGGCCTCTTCTAGGTATTGATGGCTGCTTTTTAAAGAACAAGGTAAAGGGACAGTTGTTGGTAGCATTGGGTAGGGATGCTAATAATCGCATCTATCCTGTGGCATGGGGAGTAGTTAAAGTAGAGAATACAGAGAATTGGGTTTGGTTTGTGAAGAATTTGAAGGAAGATTTGGGATTAGGTGATGGTGAAGGCTACATCATGCTTTCAGATAGGCAGAAGGTATCTTCTTTTGTCCCTTCTGTTTTCTTTTGTTTTTTTTCTTTAAATTCTGTTGTACTGATATATTGGTTTGTTATTGATTTCAGGGTTTGATCAAAGGTGTTCATCTTGAGTTGCCAAACATAGAGCATAGGATGTGTGTTCAACACATATATGGTAACTTGAAAAAGAATCATGGAAGTAAAAGCCGCATGAAGCCACTGTTATGGGATTTAGCTTGGGCTTATAATGAGAAAGATTATAAGCAGAAACTAGAGAGGATCTTCTGCTATGACACAGTTGTCTTCAATGACATCATGAAGACAAATCCAATGAGTTGGTGCAGGGCATTCCATAAGAGAGGCAGCTACTGTGAGGATGTGGACAACAATTTCACTGAGTCTTTCAATGGTTCTCTGAACAAGGCAAGAGAGAAGCCATTTGTGGCTATGTTAGAGACTATAAGACGACTTGCTATGGTGCGGATTGCAAAGAGGTCTGTGGAATCTCATACTTACACAGGTAATGCTCTGTTTTTTTTTTTTTGTGATATGGTGAGGATAAATTTGAATATGTTTTGAGATATCTAAAGCTTTTCTTTTTGTTTTGCAGGGAGCTGCACTCCTTATGTTGCATTATTTCTCTCAAAAGAACACAAGTTTGCTTCTTTGGCAAAAGTGACTACAAGCACCAATGGGATGTATGAAGTCAGGCATGGTATTGATTCTCATCGTGTGTGCTTGAAAAGCTACACATGTACATGCCAGAAGTGGCAGATCTGTGGCATCCCGTGTGAGCATGCGTATGGAGTGATCTTGGACAAGAAGCTTGCACCAGAGGACTATGTGTGTCATTGGTTCAGGACATCAACCTGGAAAAAGAACTACACTGACGGTTTGTGTCCACAGAGAGGTCCTAAGTTCTGGCCTGAGACTAATGCTCCTGCTGTCTTTAATCCACAGCCACCAGAAGGAGAGAAGAAGATGACAAAAGAGGATAAGAAGAGGAAGAAGGGTGTCAATGAGTCTCCAACTAAGAAGGCAGCAAAGAACAAGAAACGGATCATGCATTGTGGCATTTGTGGGATAGCTGATCACAATTCTAGGGGATGCCAGAAGAAAGCTAAGGTTTGTTTTATGTTTTGATCCAATTTCATTTAAGTTTAAGACATATGTTGCTTCTACTAACATTCATTTATGTCTTACAGGCTTCTCAATCTGTTTTGCAGCCTTCTCAACCTGAACCAAGTCAAGGTTCACTCACTCAAGCTTAATCAAGTAGTAGCTAAGTAGATGTAGGGCACTAATGTGGTTGTCTCATTCTAATTTTCGATCACATATGACTTGTGTATCCCTCTGTTTTGTAAACCTTTTGAATGTTTCGGATGGATGATTGTTTCTTTGTTTTGTAAACCTTTTGAATGATTTAAAGAATGGTTTAAAGAATGTTTGTTTCTCTTGTTTTGTTTTGAATGTTTGGTTGTCTGTTATGACCAATTCTGAAAAACACATCATGACCAAACTAACCCATTTATCCAAAACAAACATCATTCTCTTAATACAAAACAAACACCATTCTCTTAGTACATAATGTCTTGATCATAAATCCAAACTCCAAACTACAAACACCATTGTCTTAATAATAAATCTAAAGCTAGAACCAAAACACAAACATTCACCAAACACAAAACACAAACATTCAATGATGTTTTCAATGGTTCATCCGACTAATTTGTTGAATCCAATCATGATCATACACCCTATCACTACGACAATCATCATCTTCTTACTGCTTCCTTTGGCTTCAGACAAAGCATCTTCCACCTTCTCAAATATCTCCTTCTCTATCTTCATTTGGATCTTCTCGCAAACGATCTTTTCTACCTCCAAAGTCTGTGTTTTAAGCTCTTTTAGCTCCTGCTCAAGTTCACCTACCTTTTCTTTCAATGTATCTATCTCATTCAACAAGGCTTCATCAACCCATTTGAATGTGTGTTCATCATTCCTAAGCTACAAATTAACAATCATTGGTCCATTAGCAGAATCTAAAACAAGATACAATACAAAACAGTTGAAACAGAGGCATGAAATTACCCTATGTTTTGCAGCAACACAACAACGATAGTATCTCCGGCAAGGATTGGTATCGGATTTTGAAATTAGTGCTACAATATCTTCTCCGCACCAACATCTCTTCGGCACCCCGAAGACTCTGCCTCTTCCACGAGGACCTGTAGATCCCGTCGAACTCAATGAAATGTTGCTCATCTTGCAACTCGAATTCTGGGTTTGAAGTCGATTTCGAATTTAGGGTTCTTGAAATTGGGGAAAATGATTTGGGGATTTCGAAGTTTGGGGTTTAATAGCATTGGGTCGGGTTATAATATGGAATCGGTTTTTTTTTGGTTAAGTTACGACCAAAAATCTGGTTTGGTCTCGGGTTTACGCACCAAACCGACGAAACCCAGACACGGGGACATTTAGATGTTGAACTTTTGATTCGGGGGGAAATAGGTATTGAACTTTAATTTCAGGGACATTAGGATCGGGGTCAAAGTTTGGGCTGCATCTGTTATGATGCGATAGTTCTCGGGGGGAAATAGACCGTTTTTCCTGATGTGTGAAGCATGAATAGTAAGTAGTAGCTTCAGATCTCTTAGGAACGAGAATGTGAGTGAGAAATATTAGGTTTTTTATTTTATGATGAATGTCTGGTTTATTGATTTATTCCTTTTCACTTATAAATTTTTCTTGTGCAAAGTGCAAACAAAGCCTCCAAGCGATTCTCTTTGTTCCCCGTTCGTGATTCTTAGCCAAGGAAACGTTGACCATTATCACAGATTAAGCATTTACTCGTCGCTTGAACCAGAATGCTAGCTTTCAGCTCCCTGTATATGCAAATGACCAAACTACCCTTGAATTTACGAATTTTAGATAATTTACAAAATACCTAAACATTAAGTGAACTCTAAATTCGTAAATTCCGCAACTCTGAAATTGTCTCCTTGAATTTTTTAGGTCCTAAGATTTGTGATTTGAATGTTCCTTTGAATTTTATTGCAAATGATAATTGTAGTTTTCCTTTTATTATTTATTTGCTTGTACGATATTTTTCGATGCTAAAACATTCAGTGTACCTTTCACACATTTATCATTGGTGTCCATCCATGTCTTCATATGACCTATTAGCTGTGAAATTACATATTTTGATGGAGACTTAGAATTGATAACTGTAGGAATCCTTGTAGTTTCTTGTGCTTTCCTTGCTTATTCCTTCTGAGAGATAGATTACTCCAATTTACTGGTCATAGATATAAAACGACTCTGATTAGTTTACGAGACAAATAGGCAGTGCCGGTCCGAGCATTTGTGAGGCCCTACACGAAAAATAAAATAATGCCAAATATATTTATAAGTTTTAGGGCTAAATTTTTTTTTTTGACCTATTTTTAGTAAATTATACAAAAATAATGATATTTTGAATATTATTACATTCAAATTTAATTGTTTGGGCCCTATTTTATTTATTTTTTTCGAAAAAAACTTTAGTTTTTACTAAATATTTTCATTTTATGGGCCTTTTTACCAAAAAAAAAAAAAAAAAAAAACCTTTAAAGAAAAAAAATTTGTGGTGCCCCAAGCCACCGCTTGGGTGGCCTGTCCTGCGGGCCGGCCCTGCAAATAGGTATGAAAAAAGAAATATCATCACTTTCTTATTACTTGAAAAGAAAAAGAAAAACAGTTATGTCGACATCTTTGCTCATGTATAACAGAAAACGACTCTGATCCGTTTGAGCCCTACTCAAGACTCAAGACTTTAAAAGCTAACTTGCATATTTCTTCCTAGCTCGTAGATTTGGATAAGTTTGAAGATTAATTAGTAGAGCGAGAGCCCCCTCACGAATTTTCCATGAAGAGATAAATAACAACAAATTAAGCTTCCTCTTTTGCCATCTCTCATTCTAAGTCACAAATAATGATAGCTAAATATTTTTACGCCACTCAAATTTGTGCGAAGAAGACATTTGCATGTTAGCTTGTATAATAGAGATCCGTTTGAGTACAACAAAGACATAAAAGACTTAATAGAGATCCCTCATTTTTCTTCGAAGAGGACATTCACGTGGTGGAGCCACAGTGACTTCGCCGCCCCTTACGAATATTCTTCCCATGTTTGCGTTGCTAGCTAGTCTTCTCCTTCTAAGTCAATGGAGTTAGTGTACTAATATATATACAACAACCCCTTTTTCTGTTTTGAATACCGTTGTTGCTTCACATAGCTCTCTAAACAATCTCTTTGTCCCTCTCTATACCATACGAATAATGGATTCTTATTTTTTCCTTGGCACTGTTGTTGTTGTTGCTCTTGCAATCTACACGCTTTTGGGAATGCTATCTTTTATGGTTTATAGAAAATTCAGGTTCCATCTAGACAAGAAAAACATAGCTTGTTTTTCTTTTTCATCTTTTACATCTTTCTCATCTTGTTCATCTCTTTCATCAACTTCGTCTCCCAGTCGGAAACACCAAGTCTTTCCAAGTTTCCACGGGGCAGATGTACGCAAATCCTTTCTCAGCCACATCATGAAGGAGTTCAAAAGCAAGGCAATCGACATATTCATTGATAAAGATATCAAGAGGAGTAAGTCCATCGGTCCTGAGCTCATAGAAGCTATCAAAGGATCGAGGATTGCAATTGTCTTCCTCTCGAGGAACTATGCTTCTTCTTCGTGGTGCTTTGAATGTTTCAACGGCGTCAAGCGATTTCAGCAGCTTAGTTGGGATGGAGGCTCATATGAAAAAGTTGGAACTAATGTTATACCTAGATTTGAATGATGTGAGGATGATAGGGATTTGGGGTCCTCCTGGGATTGGTAAGACCAGCATCGCCAGAGTTTTATTTAGCAAACACTCTGACAGTTTCGACTTGAGTGTCTTTATGGAGAATGTCAAAGGACGATATACAAGACCAGGTTGTTCGGATGAACACAGTCTTAAGCTGCACTTACATCAGCAGTTTCTGTCTCAAATATTCAACCAGAAGGATATAGAAGTTCCTCACTTAGGTGTTATACAAGACAGGTTAAGAGACAAGAGAGTGCTTGTTGTCCTTGATGACGTCGATCAGCCAGCACAATTAGAAGCCATGGCCAAGGAAAATAAGTGGTTTGGTCCTGAAAGTCGGATTATTGTCACCACTCAAGGTCGAAGACTTTTGGAAGGACATGGAATCAAAGATATGTACAAGGTGGATTTTCCACCACCTCGTGAAGCTTTTCAAATCTTCTGCATGGATGCTTTTGGTCAAGCCTCTCCTAAACACGGTTTCGAGGAGCTTGCATGGGAAGCTACATACGTGTCTGGTATACACCCTTCGGGTATAAGAAGTATGGGTTCTTATTTCCGGGGAATGTCAAAGCTGGAGTGGGCAGACGCATTACTAAGGTTAAGGACTAATAACCCTGACTCTGGTTCTGTGAGGACCTACAAAAAAGTCGGAATCAGAATCAGAAATGAAAAACAGAAGATTGTGTCACGTATGATGAGCTCAATAAGGAGGAAACAAATAGCAGCAGCAGAAGAAAGAGCTGCTAGTGTTTATGAAAGAACTATGAAAGAGGTGGATTCTTCTCCTGTGTCGTCTACTCGGGGACTTGCTGAAGGTTTGGCAAAGAAACTGATAGAGTTGAAGAACCACTTCGAAGGACATGAAACCTGATCAAACCACCAAAACGAAAGTATGTGCAATGAGTGATTTTATATATGTTATATGTACTAATCTTTGTATTTACGTTGCAATTTGCTTCACTTGTAATAAGGAGAGAATCGGTCAACCTATAATATGTAGGAACCAACTCTTCCATTTCGCAACATTATTAATTAATTCCTTTGCTTGTAGGATCTATGTCTCCAACTTGTTTTGTTTCTTGTTGACTAATTAAATTCCCTAAAACAAAAGTCTTATTGTTCTTGTTTTACTCTGTTCCTAAAGTTTTCAGTTTTGCTTCTACCCCTTTTGATCTATGGCATTGGCATGTATCAGTGAGCTATTTAGCAAACTTGTAAATCTCTGACTACAATCACTCATTATAATTAGCATATGTATCTGATGTTTTGAGTCTTTCTTTTTGGATTTCTGAAACTGGGATTGATGGTTCTTTTTGTCGAATGCGTGGTCTATCATCAGCGTTTGTTTTTGATTTGAGGCATCCACTTTAAATAACATTGGTTGAAAGTGTTTTAGTTAGCTATCTTTGGTAGCATTTTTGCAAGCTTGTAAAGACATCAATAGAAAACGCAGAAATGTCTTGTATGTATGATGGAGCTACAAAATTTGCTATAGAAATTGTTTTGTCATGATTATTTTGTGTTAGGAAGGTCCCACGATTTATGCCTGTAAGGAAGGTCATTAAAGTTATGTTTAGGAAAACACCATCATATAACTGAAGCAGAGATTAGAAGAGTACTGAATCATCACCTATGTTATATAACTGATCACCTGGAAACAAGAATGTAGAATATCTCCACCAATCTGATCCAGTGACATATTTTTTTAGAATGTGTTATTTATGATTGAGATGGGCAATGTTGCCACCTTCACGCTGCCGTTGGTGAGTCGTATCTATAAAAGGAAATTTCCTTCGATCGCAACTTTTTTATAACCTATCAACGTATTTTTATTTCTATAAACGAGTATGTCTCTCTACATTCGAGATCTTTAGGCTTTTTAACACATTCTGCGTTTTCTAATGTGTTAAAACTCGATATAGAAGCGAGAAACATAACCATTCGGACATTGAGCTACTACTGGAGGTTCCTTGACCAAGTACTTGATACAGAAGTACTTGTAGAGATGACTTGTTGTACATAGAATCTGCAGACTGCAGGCTGGGATTATATTAGGAATCATTTAACTCTGTTCTGTTATGACATGTTTCACTCTGTTTTGTCCATTAAACTTGTTTACACTTACAGAGAGTTGTTTGTGTTTTCGTATTCGTCTTTGTCTTGCAATTTTGTCTTCCAGATCTGGAGCTTCCAATCTCGATAAAAGCATTTAATAATCTCATTCATTGATTACAGTGAGTTAACTACGATTAATACTGTTGTCTCTTGACCCTTGTGCAGACATTGATGAGATATGATCTAGTTGAACTATATAATTAATACATCAATTAATTAGCGGGTCTAATTTTTGTTTAATCAGTAGAGTTTGTGTGTGGTTTACGTTCATGATAATAAATGTGTGATGTTTCTAACTTCAAATGAACGTTGGGAGGACAAGGGCTGTCGCCTTTGCTGGATTTGGGAGCCAGAATCCTGGTACGATTAGGATCGCAGACGCTGTTTTTGGATCGAACCCTTCGATTCCTAGAGAGGTTTTGGCTAAAGCTTTTCAATTAGACGTTAAATTGGTTAGATTTCTCCCCATAGTGTTTGGTCCGCCATTATGGTAATAAGGTTTTAAGATTGATGATAACATTAGTGAGTTAATCACATGATATACATGAATTTGAATCCCGAACTTATAAATATGTATTTTTCTTTCACAGAGTGTGTATGTATAGCTAAGTTATGATAATAACCAATATTATATGTTTCTAATTTCTAAATTCTTAAAATTGTGTCATAAGTGGTTAATGTTTCTCCGATAATTTGTGTGGTTAATGTTCTGGTTGAATAAATATGTGTATGCTTGTAGGCTTTGATCATCAAGCAAATGATAACCACTTCTTCTCACGTTTTTAAATTTCCAAATTGATCATAAAACGTCAGATTCAATGCTTCAATAATACTTAGTACTCAAATCAAAAGTTCTAATTCTCCTTTCCGTAACTAATTGGATTTAGGGAACTTAGAGCATCCCCAATGGTAGGGATCCTTAAAACATCCTTAAGAATTTTTTAGTTGTAAATTTTGACAAATATAAAGTTAAGGATTTTCGTAGGGACTCTTAAAAATATTTATGTCCAATGGTAAGGACCTTAAGAAAAACACAAATTTGGTGTGTGGTATTTGAGTTTTGATTGCTTGAAAAGAAAGAAAGAGAAGATAAAGTATACAAGTTTTTGATACATTCTTGATAAACACATTGTTTTGCTCGGAAACAAAATTCTGTTAACAAAAAAAAAAAAAAAGGTTTTCAGTGTTGATAATTATTTTACGGTTGCGTTTATATGTGTTAAATTAAATTATTATATTTAAATTTAAAATAAATTATTTTTCTTTAAAATTACAAATTATAGAAACAAAAAGGCTAAAACATAGATCAAGTATCTTATTAGTATGTTTATCAGTTTATGTATGTATTTTTAAAAAATTATTTAAAAAGAAAAACACTAAAAGTGTTAAAATGGTTTCATACAGACATACAGGCAAACACAAACTCAAATGAAGCAGTCAAGCTTTACACGTTATATAATAAATAGGTAGTAAAAGCATGAAAGTCCCACAATTTAAATCTTATTGTATTAATGGGCCCTGATTTCTCGGTCTAAACTCGATCAATTAATCTATTATCTAAACTCTAGAGTAGATGTCATTTACTTGTAAACTAAAATCAATTGGTTTTGGACTGCTTCTTGGGCTATATATAGCGCATGCATGTTTCTCATGCAGCATCGCTCAATCCACAAAGAAAGGGAAAATTAAAAAAAAACACACACACACACACACACGAACATTTCTATTAGAAAAAAAAAAAAATGGAAGGTCTTCTGCACTTTCTTTTAGCTAAAATCATTTTGGTGGCTTTAGCATCTTCGTTTGTATATTGTTACGACCCATCTCCTCTTCAAGACTACTGTGTTGCCACCAACGAAACTAATGGAGGTAATCTCTCTATTTGTTGCATATACATGGCTCCTTTGATATTCTACAATCTGGATATTATGCCAAAAATCATAGTAACCTAATTATATATATCATTCAAACCTCAAAAGATTTGATTTGACGTTTTACGCAGTTTATGTAAATGGAAAGTTCTGCAAAGATCGAAGACGTGTAACGGCGAATGATTTTTATACTTCCGGCCTAAACGTTCCCGGAAACACCAGCACCGGTCCCGGCGCCAAAATCACAGCCGTGGATATCGAAAGAATGCCTGGTCTTAACACTCTCGGGGTCGCCATTGCTCGCATCGACATCGCCCCTGGCGGTCTAGTTCCACCTCACACGCACCCACGTGCCAGCGAGATCTTCTTAGTCATGAAGGGCAAGCTTTTCGTTGGATTTGTGTCGTCAAATGAATATAACTATACACTCTTCACCAAAATTCTTTATCCCGGAGATGTATTTGTGTTTCCCAAAGGTTTACCACAATTTCATGCGAATATGGGGAAGACAAATGCGGTTGTGATTGCTGCAGCTGGGAGCCAAAACCCCGGTAGGATCATAATAGGTGATGCGGTTTTCGGATCGAAACCTTTGATTGATCCCAAGGTTTTGGCTAAAGCTTTTGCGTTGGACTTGGACAAAGTGAAATATCTTCAGGCAGTGTTTTCTTGATGACATACTAAGAGAGTAATCATAAAATGTAGTTATGACGAAATAATCTGATGATTATATACATACACATGTGTAATGTGCTACTTAATTAATTTAAAAACAATTTGTATGAAATTAATAAAATTAATGAATAAATAAAGAGGTTTTGATCATATCCAATGGCTTTGATCAGAAATTTCAGAATCGTGGAATGTAAGATATATAAATTATGATACAAAAACCTGAAAATGTCCAACGTAATCTTAATACCGCGGCACAAAACCGCTTCAAGAACGTATATAAAAACGCATTATGATATTTAGAAAAAAAATCATATTTATAACCAAAAACATAATGTAATCTTTATAACAGATTTCTTTATAACAGATTTATAGGTTTTAATACGCGGAAGCAAAACAATCCTACAAGATGGTGGGGCATATTACTAAGTAAGGATTATGTTGTTCTCTGCATATTCGACCAATAGGGAGCCATTCCCAGTTTACAATTTAGAGCTTGCAATGCCCATGGTTTATATTTTAAAAATGTGTTTTTTATTATTCATATTATAATTGAATTAAGATTAACAATGGCCATGTATTAGTGGTAAAGGCACTGGATTTTGTAGCTTGCATGAAACAATTCCAATTTAGTTTTCTTAATTTCAAAGGATTTCAGTCGCATATATATGCAGCCATTGATGATATATTCATATACTTGAACAATAATCACACAACAAAATATAATTAATTAGTTGATAATTTTTCTTTAATAGATTTTGTGTGTAGCTAGCTTATGTTTATGATAACAACACTGTGGGGTTTTAATTTCTAAAGTTTAAAAATGTGTGGTTAATGTTTTGATTGTGTGCAAGTGTACATATGCATATGCTTGTATACATTGATCATCAAGCAAATTTAAACCATAATCACTTCTTCTCACGTTTGAAATTTCCAGGTAATTGAGGAAACATCGGATTCAACACTTCATGACTTTGCATCATATTTCAGAATTTTAAAAATTATCCACATAATTGAGTGAATTTGTTTCATAATTCAACAAAAGCAAAGAAACTTTGAGGGAGCTAGCTAGCCCTCTCATAACGAACTTGATTCATTAATTCTGTATCAATTTTGATAATACTGTGGGAAAAATTAAGTTCAAGAAAATAAATTAGTAAATGATTTATTTCAAACGAATATATTAACACTTTTCTGGATAAAGTATAGTTACACGTTAGAATATTAAATTTTCATTCAATCAAGAAATATTTTTTATAGTGGTCAATTTCTCTTACAAATTATAAACCCAAAAGTAATCTAAAATGAATAATATACCAATTACATCTCTCGTTTTTTGGTGCAAAATATACAAGTTACATCTTGTTATATATGTTAACATTTAAAATTTACAAAAAAGAGTTGATTTATAAGAAAAACTCCATAAACGTTGCGACTTCATTTAACATGTATTTAAATATATAGTTGCAAGCACAAACTTACATGTGCACAAACAGAAAAATAAATGCATGAAAGTCCAATATTTTTCAAATTTACTTTTATTAGGTCTTGAAATTCCGTACAAACTCGATCAATCTATAATAGTTAGATGTAAATTACTTGTAAACTAAGATCAAATATTTTGGACCACATTTTGGACTATATATAACGCATGCATGTTTCTCATGCAACATCGCTTAATCCACAAAGAAAGGGACAACAAAATCACACAAACAAATTCTATTTGAAAAAGAAAAAGATGAAAGATCTATTTCAGTGTTTTCTAGCTAAAATCATCTTGGTGGCTTTAGCATCTTCGTTTGTATCTTGTTACGACCCATCTCCTCTTCAAGACTACTGTGTTGCCACCAACGAAACTAAAGGAGGTAATCTCTCTATTTGTTGAATATATATAACTTTTAAAACAAATTTGTAAACACAAAGACGAAATACATATATAATTTTGAATATATATAGCTTTTAAAACAAATTTGTAAACACTTTTTGAATATATAAAGCTTTTAAAACAAATTTGTAAACCACCACATGTAATAAATAACACATGTAAACCACCACATGTAATAAATAACATACATACACACAAATAGGTTTTTTTTTTTTTTTGGTTTTCAATGTTAAAAATAAAAAAAAATAAACCTATGTATTGTTTTATACGTAAAGTTTATACATAAGAATAACCCTATATTTTTATGTTATTTGATATGGAAGACGATGTTATATGATAAAATGTTAATGTAACTTATTATATAACTTTCAAATTCAAGCCTACATTTTTTTTCTTTTCTTGTAGTTTTCGTAAATGGAAGATTCTGCAAAGATCCAAAACTAGTAACATCCAATGATTTCTTTGCTTCTGGACTTAACATCCCGGGAAACACCAGCAACCGCCTTGGCTTCTTTGTCAACCCCGCAAATATCCCTGGTTTCAACACTCTTGGGGTCGCCATCGCCCGCATTGACTTTGCCCCTGGTGGTCAAATCCCACCGCACATACATCCACGCGCCTCCGAGATCCTCCTAGTCATCAAGGGCAAGCTCCTAGTCGGTTTTGTGTCGTCGAACGAGTACAACTACACACTTTTCTCCAAAATTCTTTATCCGGGAGATGTATTTGTTTTCCCCATCGGATTGGTACAATTTCATGCAAACATAGGGAAGAAAAATGCGATTGCGATTGGGGCGGTTGGGAGCCAAAATCCTGGTTTCATCTCGGTAGGTGATGCAGTTTTCGGGTCGAGGCCTTCGATTGATCCAAAGATTTTGTCTAAAGCTTTTGCGTTGGATATCAACATAGTGAGATATCTTCGGACAGTGTTTTCTCCTCAAGATGATATCGTTGAATAAGAATAACGATGATAAAATATAATTGTGGGTAAAATAAGTTGATGGTTGTATAATAGATAAAATATCTACTTAAGTGTAAGAAATACACAGATCAAAAATTAATGTGTGGGAAATAAATACGTAAGTGGACGTGTAATGTAAATGTACCAGTTTAACGAATAATACACAAATTAATATGGGGCTAAATAAAGAGACTAATGGGCCTGATTAAATGGGCACTATCCAGTAAAAATATGCAAAAGGAAGCACACGAACTTACATCGTTTTCTGTAAAATTCGCCGTCGCCGGAATTCATGGATCGACCACCTTCGTTTACACACTATCAAAATCCTAATCCGAAATTTCTTCCTCCGGACTCCTCCAGCTCATCTTCAAAAATCCTAACAATTACTTCACCCACCGCTCCATCTCCGCCGCCAATTCGCTCGCTCTGTCGAAAAATCTAGCTTTAGATCACTCTTCTATTCTCCACAAGGACGAAAATGGCGGTTTTGGTTCGTTGCCCTTTTGATTCAAATCATTTTATGTCACCTGAAGCTCTCTTTCTCCATTCACTTGGTTGCCCAAATCCTCTTGACCTCACGCATTCCCTTCGTTACCGTGTTGTGAACTACAGTTGAATAATGTAGAAGCCATCAATCAAAAGGCTCAATTCGACGGCGGGTGGTGAGCGATTCGGCCCTAAATAAGGAATTGCGCCGTGATGAGGTACAACTGTGAAGCTCTGTGTTTTTTTTTGATTTTGTAATCCCAAATTAAGGAAAGTTTCTGATTTTGTGTACATGTGTGCTTCTACGTATTGAAGACAAATGTGGTCAAAATTTTAAAGAGCTGATCAGTACTTGGATCAGAAGATCTCAAAGGTTAATCGATTTCAATGAATCATTATTTGTATCTGTGTTCATTATTGAATCTCAAGTTACTGTGTTTTTGTGCTTGTATGTGTAGCTGATTCCTCATATGTATTCTTGACTTTGGATGTGGTGTGTTCGTCGGAGGGATCGACGATGAGGACAAGCGGTTAGTTGGTTTACATTGGTTTTGACATTAAAATTGATTTAAATGGTAGTGAAATTAGAATTGATTTTGGGTTCGGTTTACACTGGTTAAGAGAAGAAAACAAAACCCATATCCACGCGATGCAAAATTTGGAGAGAAGTGCGTCGATTGAAAAAGGCATGATTCCGAAAGGTAAACCCCTTCAGCAACGCGCACTTTGTGCGAGTGGGTCTGAAATCGATCCAACTGATTGGGTGAAAACTCTAAAAAA